TCTATAAACAGACATATTTCTTGTTCAGTTACAAAGTTCCACTTTTCAAGACTGTAATTGCTGTGTCGAGAATACCGACTAACTTGTCAATCAAAATTTTTTTTTTCAATACCTCTCTGTCACTTCAGTATCAAGTGTATTTTCTGGATCTAGAACCATACTGCATATTTTCTCCGCCATTAATTGATGATGGGGCATTGTCGTTGCTATGAAAACTTCTGCTATATCATCTTTATTTTACCGCTTCTTCACATTTTTACAAATCCCGTACTGGGAAATTTCACTTTTAGTTTGCGATGCACGAAAATCGTCAAATTTGCGGCTATCATCTTCATCATCCTCACCATGAAGTATGGTGCTGGCCATAAATTATGCCAAGCATTTTTTTAACTTAGCTAGACACACATCATCCCACGATCTTGCGATGCTCCACACAGCAGATTTTAATTCTAAAATTTCAAAAAATCTTGAATAGTCCTGCCATTGTCAGAAATTTAACATAGATTAAAAATGCTACTTTTATTTTGCATTTCAGTGCGTGCACTATTCCCATATCCATAGACTGAATGACAGATGTCATTTAGAGGGAAGAATAATACAGATACATTATCTTTCACTAAAACTTTAAGTGAACAGTTGCCGAACAGTTGTCAACAATCAGGACTATTTTTGAGTCATCAGGTAAACCAACCAAATTAGCGACATTTGAATTCGGGTATAAAATGATTTTCAAACTAATCATTCATCAATGCTTGTGTCATCCATGCTCTTTTATTTGTGCGATATATAGCAGGGAAAATCATTACTCCTTTAACCCCTTAACTGCCGCGGAAAAAGTACAAGATTCATTTCCCAGTGCCACGGTTTTTCACACAGGTGCGCGTAGTTATGCGATGTATTAGGGAGAAAAATAAGTGCAAGTTTTGCTTTCTAAAAACTGTTTACTTTCACAAAATAGATAAAAAAAGGAAAACATGAATGCACAAAATTTAATGTTTTGGAGTAAAACTATAATAAAAAGATGTAAGTATAATAAAAATGATGTTTTTATAATAAAAAATATCCCTAAATTGGAGTTTCAATCAATTCATTTTTAGACCAGTGGTGGTTTAGGTTTCAGTGTTATACCTAGTGAAACCAAAAACATATATTTCTTCTGAACTGGTTGAATGCCACGATTTGTTCTTGATTTTTCATTTGCAAAGTGTTGTTCATTTACTGGTCTACAAAACGGTTAGTTTCGTAACATATGAAGCACGAGCAGTTCATCAAATAATAATTCAAAAAAGATAAATGGGTTTGAAACATCCGTTATATCTTTCTTTATTCCTGGAACCTACAACAAAAGTAAACAAAAACGGAAGACACAGAAAAAAAAAAAAAAAAAAACCTTTTACCTCAAACACACCAGCCAATACCACACAGTCATTACTTCATTCAACCGCTTTAGACACACACCCCGCTCCAATTTTTCTTCGAAATAGTATCCTCCCTTCGCATACTTTGTCAAGGTCATTGTGGTGTTGCATTCTAAGCTTTGCGAATAATTTTATGGGTAGCACACAAAGCAAATGATAGTATTTTGGAAGGATGTATATATACGCCCGGGGCAGTTAACGCATCGGCTGAGCAAGGCGTATGCCCACGGCAGTTAAGGGGTTAAATGCTCAAGGTCATGCATGTTTTCCAATTACGAAATTTTGCACTTGTGTGTTCCTGCAGCATTTGCGCATGCTAAAATTGTTAGTCTCGCTTTGGAATCTGACACCAGTTGGAACCCTTTCTGTAGAGGTTGCCAAGGTATTTCGCAGTACCTATTGCCAGAAAAGACCAGTTTCATCAGCGTTGTAAATTTGTTCTGGAGATAATTGTTCACTAGTAATGAGTTCAATGAATTCATCTGCAAATTGTTCAGCAGCTTCAGTATCAGCTGAAGCTTTTTCAGCTGAATTTGTAATTGTCTATCCATGGCGATTTTAAATTTGGTTACCAACCTGTCGAATATGTGCACCTCAGTGTTCAAGTTCATTTCATTTCTTCATGAATTATTTTGACTTGAGCCATTAGCATTTGACCCGTCAATGGCACGCCCTCACTGCGACTCTTTCTGACCTATTCAATCATAACTTTGTCATGATCTTTTAGCATAATGAACCCTTTTCTGTTATTCATTGCAAGTGGGGTGTTGGAATCTACAAAAATTCAAAGTTCCTTTTTTCTTTTTGCTTATTATGTCATATACAGTACACTTTCCAATGTCATACTTCTTGCATAATTTCGGGTGGATATGCCTTTACCCACTTTTCAGCAATTCTCTACTTTTTGTTTGATGGACATCGAAACATGCTTTGCTTTGTAGATCCTTTGGCAGCTCCAGAATTGGAAACACTTTTTGACATAATCAAAAGTTCAAGCTTAATTTTTATAAAATTGCTCTAACAGTCTGCAAAAAATAATAAACCGGATCCAGTTAGAAGATTAAGGAAAAGTGCAATCTGCAACATTAACTGAAATGCCTTAGAATCAGTAAAGATAATTTTAGTTTAGCTTATACCATCTGTTATACATTAAACCCGCATGCGTAAATGCATTATGCGCATGCATAAAGCATACAAAAAAAATTGTGCCTTTGAGGTCCAGATTATAGATCATTCCGGATAATGGACGTCCGGATTACGGACTTTGTACTGTATAAGAGGTTCTGAGCCATTTCTGTTTATGTAAGAGGAAGTACCATTTCTGATACAGCTTCTTATTGCAGGAAATTTTTGGAAGTTCAGTTGATGAAAACAATACCAGAAGTGTATGGACTGAGTTAAAGGAGCTGAATCTTTCTTATAATTATTTAGAAAACTTAGATAAATCACTCGTAAGTATATACTGTGTTTAAAATATCTCTTCTATTGTGGAATGATTAAAAATTAGTTAAATTTTTATTTTTATGGTATTATAGATAAATTATTGTTTGCACAAATAATAACAAAATGGCCATTTTTTTAAAAATATTTATTCATTCTAAATAACTGCTTGCTTAAAAATATACACATCTTCTGTGCACTTATTTACTTTTCAGGAAAGTCTGCCAAATATTGAAATTCTAGACTTGAGCCATAATCATTTAAGGAGTACAGAAGAAATTCGTGTAAGTGTATAAAAGTCAGTTTTCATGTTACTGTTCGAATTGGTATTAGTAATGAACCTTAAATCATGGTATAATAGCATATTTAAGATATAGTTCCATATCATGCTGAATATATATTTAATATTCAGATTATTAGTACTATTTTTTTTCATAAGTAATACTTAATTTATCCTTTAAAATTACATAGCAGTAAACTTTGAATTATAATTACTTTATCAAATTCAAGGTGTGACTGAAAAGTGAAGGATTAAGGAAATCTGATGTTGTAAAATATTTGAATAGATATACATCATTAGCTTTTAAAATAATCTCTGGTCTAATGCAGTGCGTTTCTGACAGCATTCATGTACCTGCTGGAAACATTCAGAATCCTTCATCTGTACTGCTTTCAATTTCTCCTGCACAATAACTTGGATGTGTGAAATGTTAAAAAAATCTGATTTTTCAGTGTATTCTGTTTTGGAAAGAGAAGTCTTGTAAGGCAAGAATGAGAGAATATAGAGGGTAGTACAATTAGTAACCTGGCAGTTAATAAAAAACTGCTTCATACAGACATAGCAATTGGAGATTACCTCTAAGATCCTGGTTTAGCAAATAGTAGCTGCATGCAATGAATGTGGCTCTAGAAGCAGTTGAGAATCTCACAATAAAAATCTCCATTCGCTGTTTGACCTTCTGGTAAATTTTAATAGATTGGACCTGTGCATTGATTGAAAAAAGTAATTAATATTTTCTTTCATCATCTTTTGGAAACAAAACATTTCATTTTTGGTGATGAGGGACTGTGCTATTCCATGCTTTAGAATTTAATTTCTGCATCATACTGGAAACAGAGTGTTTTGTCCTCATTTGCAGTGGATTGTAAAGAAAAGGTACGACTATCTGTCATGTTAATAAAGCTGCCAGATTATTCATTCTCTGTTAATTTTTTTTTTTTTCTGGGAAGGTGGTGAAGGGCAAACCTTGCACAAATTTTGCATTTAGCTAAAATTTCCGTTACAGTGATTCTAATGGTTTCACAAGGAGTATTCTATTCCTCCACCACTGTTCAGGCAGAAAAATGCTGATCCAGCTTCAATAGCTCATGAACTCTGCTAGCATTTGTGACCATTCTGCTTCTTATCAGTATCTCACTCTGATGCTGTGTATAATGGTTTCCTGACTTTCATGAAAGCATATAAGCCACTCGTATATTGTCTTTTGTCTCATCACTGTATCTTAGAGCAGAATTTTTAGGACTGTGTGGGCTACTGTTTTGTTTTTACTAAATATGAAATAAAGTTTTATGTTCACGTATGTTCCATTATGCATTGAACTTGTAACACATACTCAAAGCTAGAATGGACCTTGCCAAGAAATGTTGAGAATTGTTGCTTGTTGGTGTTAGCTGAGTTATGGATGCCTTGTGCATATTATCAAAATCCATTTACCTAATGAAGGGGTAAATCAGTGGGCTTTTTAATTACATTTTGTAAACTGAACTTTTCAGTGTTCGGTACTTTCTGATTATTTGCATCTGTACAAAAAATTAACAGTGAGTTGCCAGTTTTGTGAATTGGCGAAAGAAAATTGTTTGGTTTTTTTTTTTTTCAGACAAAATTTTGTAATTGATAGGTATTATTTATTATATTCTTACATAGTAATAAAAAGAAGCATTAATAAAGAAAAAAATATCAGGGTGGGACTGTACGACAAATGTTTGAGTTTTTTCAGCCATTGGATACTGTTCAGTTACTAGCTTTTGGAAATGATGGTTTAATGTTGTAATGTATTTCTTCCGCCTTCTTAGTGTAGTGGTCAGCACGCTCGATGCACATTCGGTAGGTCTATGGCATGGGCATTGCTAATTTTTATCCCCCCTGCTTTAAAAAAGAAAAAAAAAAAAAAAAAAAATGTCCCTACACTGGCGCCTCAACTGAAAGGTGGTGAATAACGATTTTTCACCACCAGGATTTGGCGATTGGGTCCCCTAAAATCCCAGTCACCCTTTAAAAGGGGGAGTATATAAAGTATTTCTCCTGCCTTCGTGGTGTAGAGGTCAGCATGCTCGACGCAAATTCAAGAGGTCCGGGACATTGCTCATTTTTCATCTCTCCTACTTTAAAAAAATACCTAATGTCTCTACAATGTAAAGTGTATAAGTCCATGTATATTTAAACACATGTGGTACATGCATGCATGTGTTGATTATTGTCATGTGTATACTGGAAATTAGACAAAAAGACAGCAATTTGTGCAAATATTAAAAATGGGGCAGCAGCTAATAAAAGCATGCTCAGTATTCTTTAAAGATTTCGACTTTAAAATCATAAACTTGCATAAAATTAAAAAGTTGTCATTTTAAAACACATTTTTTCAATTTTGAATGGTTTTGAAGCTTGTATTCTTATTTTCAAGTTTTGTAGCTTAATGAAGCTGTAATAATTAGTGAGTCAATTGATCAAGTGAAGTTTTTTTTTATTTTTCATGTTATTTAAAATGCATTTGAAATTCAGAAAATGATTTAGGAAAAATATCATGTTCAAGTACCATACTGATTTTCTCATATGTTATGACAGATTTAATTCATGCATATACAGGGTGTCCGTAAAAGAATGTTGTGGTTTCAATGGTATGTTATAATAGTTTAATTTAGACTATATGCAACAAATAATATATTAAATTGAAGGTAAAGTAACATAGTTTTTCATAGAAATGTTCAATATGTGCATTTGTAGATATACCAAACACAACCTATAGTCCAATTCTTCGTACACTTCAGTTAACAAGTCCGGTGTAAGGGAAGCAATAGCATCTTCAGTTCTATGTCTCAACTCTGGCAAAAAATTAGGTAACAGTGGAACATAGACATAATCTTTTATAAAGCCTCAAAGGAAAAAATCTCATGGCATTAGGCCAGGTGAACATGAAGACTGGTGGGGGGGAAAAAAAAAAAAAAAAAGAGTCCTGTCGTCTCCACCATTATGACTAATGCAGCAGTCAGGGACTTTGACGTTCAGCAGCTCTCATATACAATAAGATTCAAAAGGAAAAAGGCTGCAACTTTTTGCCAAATAAAACTTACAGGTTCACCCTCTAGTAATTGAGGAAAGAGACATTCTTGTAACATACCTAGATAAGCCCCCCCCCCGTTATGGTATCTTCAGCAAAACAAAATGGTCCATACACTTGGACGTTGGGACACAGTACAGAAAATGTTTAATATTGGGGAATCGTTTATGTTTTTCAAGTTCATGAAGATGTTCTCACCCCAGATGTTAACATTGTGGGTATTTACCTTCCCACTCAAATAAAAAATTGACACGTCACTGAACATCACATGATCAAGAAAGTTATCTTTCCTCTCAAACACTTCGCTTGCAGAGTTAAAAACAAACATCATAGTCATCTGGCTTTAAAGCGTGTACCAACTATAACCGGTATCGGTGCATGTGTAAACATTTTATTAAAACCTTCCGAGCTGTAGTTTTTGGCATAAACTTGTGAAGATACAGTATAACTTGCATTCATTCAGTAAATCTCGACACGCATTATAAAAAAAGGATTGTAGCTTTTATTTCACAACTCTAGAACTCTTTCGGTACTCGCGCCATAATGGCGAGAACACATTCACTTGCAAAGGTTGGAACACATACTGGGTTTCCTTTTTTTTTTTTTTTCTGCACAGCACTGTCCTCAGGAGGCATTTTTTACTTTTTCTAGTTCATAAAAGACTGAATATCCTCCTGCCTATTGAAATTGCAAATTTCAGTAAGAGAATATCACAACAAATTTTGCAAAACTTGAATAATAATATGTAATAATAAAACACATCTTAAATAATACTGTATAGCTACCTAAATGAAAATAATTATAACACAATGTATACAACACAATTACAATAATATCATATAGTCTAATTATTGTTTAAGCAAAATACTATTACAAAATGTACAGAAGCGGTAAGATGGCTTCCCTACAAAGCAGTTCTAGGGTTGCCATAAAATGGCAAGGGAAGGCATGGTTGCCACATTTGGCAAGAAATTGTCCATTTGGCGACAAAATTGGCGATATAACATGGACGGTTGGAGAACTTTCTGGAACGAATTCTTACTGGTTTAGCCCAAAATGTTCTTTAACACAAGCCGAAAAGCTATATAAACCCTGCTGGTCCGCAGTCAGTGTGTGTGCCTTGGCTAGCGAGCTGATGGTCAGTCATAGAGAGAGAGTGCCTCATCTAGAGTGTGAGTTAGTCAGTCCATGCGGAGTTCATCGAGTTGACAGCCGGGCAGCTAATGCCGAGTGGATCGTTGAGTGCATCAAAACAGTCTCTTAGTGTATCACGGCTAGTGTATCGTCGAGACTGTGTTGAGCTCCAGGAACGACTGAACCAAGAGTCGGGAGCTGTGCTCTGTGTGTCGTCGAGTGCAACGTGAGTTGTAGCGTAGAGAGTTTTGAGAGTACGTGGAGTTCTGAGAACGACCAAGCAGTGTCGGGAGCCGTACTCTAGTGCTTTGCCGTGAAGCTGTCTCCACCATAATAGCCTGATAACCTGGAGGCTGTGTCGCTGATCGTGTCAGTGTGCTTATAAGTAGTTCATTGACGACTGTAAAAACGTGTTTTGGAGCTGTCCTGACAATACTGGCCAATAAAGTGTGTTTCGATACTTCATCAAGTAGTAAGGCATTATTCACTCCAAATCCTCACTAACCCTGTACAAATGTGAAGGGAGAAAATAATGCAACAATACATATATGATGAATACTTCTTTTAAGAAATTTTCCATCCAGCAGTTATAAATTGACAACTCTGAGTGCTGATATCCTTGCATCCTTACCTGGAAATATCTCAGCGACCCACCATTGAGTTGGCGGAAGATTCGCATCCTTTAAAATTACAATGGTTCCAACATTAACATTATTTTTATCAAATTTCCACTTTGATCTTTAATTTAAATCTCTACATATAATAAAAGGAAGAGTCAGTCTATGTGTGTTTTTCGTTGTGCTGCACGTAAGCTA